TGAGGCTTCTTAATGTTATAGATAAGATTTTTGAGCTTGCCATATGTACGGAATTAAGTCTACATTGTTTAAAGATTTAGTTAATAAAACATTCCACTGTGTTTCACCGGAAAATGTCATCTGAACAAGTAACACGTCTGCCAGTTTTGTTCTGACCAGCTAAAAAAAAAAAAGTTTTACAATAAATTGCGCTACCAATTAAAACTAACGATCGCAAAGTAAGCTCAGATCACGTCAAACCGTGCAAATTATTATTATTGTTATTCTTTTTTCTCAAATTGTTACTGTTAACCACATGACTACGTGTATTTAGTGTGTATTAGCGTTGTCTGTAGATTTAAATTTCTATACAGTCTAATCTCTAATTGTCATACCATTCGAATGGAATCGACAGGAAACGTTCTTTTAACCTCAAAAAGCAATTTAATGTTCCTTAGAACATAGTTCTCTTTGAAATACAAATCGTTTGTAAGTACAGTAATCCCATGTATCTGTAATCAGATGCATATTTAAAACTGGAGTATAATCTAATTTCAGTCACTTACATGTGTTTCATTACCATCATGCACCATTTAATACTCTACATTTTGACACGCTTACTGTTGTGAATCGAAGGTAAGGAGATAGTTTTGAACGCTGTTGGTTATGTACTTGCTCAATAATTGATTTTGGATATTTTGACCCCCCCCAAAAAAACGTTACGTAATGCAACTTTAAACACACTTCTCTGTTTTGTCTATAATATCCAAATACTGCAGAAGCTTTAACAGAATCATCTGAACTGATGGTTCATGTCACTACAGTGACGTTATGAGAAGATACTACAGATGCATTAATTTTATTAGAACATTAAACTGATAGTTGCATTTTTGTCATGCATCTTGATTCATCCCAATGTTTTCTTTTTGTACCATTGGATTGTGGAGTTGCAAAGCACTATTCCTTGTAAATCCACAGCAGTAAATACATACATGCATTAAATTATCATTATGTAATTTATCCAGGAAAGAATTCTACCCAACAACACTTTGAATCTCCTGACAGAGCATGTATTTTACATTTCATGTTGGCTTGTAATATCTTCCCGTTTATTATTTACCAAACGTAAGGGACTGCTGATATTGCATCACTTACAAGGTCTCTGACACAAAAACCACATGAAAAGTACTGGACCACTTTGAGACACCCTCTGTCTGACCCAAATTTCAGATCAAATTTGAACCTCTTGAAGTGTCATGGAGGGCTTATGGGTAGTTTACAGTCTTGAGTGACGTTGAGTTCCAGCTGTCTCTGATAAATCTGCTGTCAACAAGGTGGCGTTTGCCTTGCCAACCAATGACTATACATGTGATTCACACACTCCTTTCTCTCCTCTTCAGTTTACTGAAAATACTTGTGTGAAGTGTTGTGAGAAGGATCCTTTTAAATTTCTCGACTCTGTTACCTTGTTGCCCTGAGGCTGTTGGACTCGTGAGCAGCCTGGTTGTTGATTAGTGTGTCTGCTGGTGTTAAATGTGTGACACACACGCACACATACACATACACATACACAGAGAGAGACACACACACACACACACACACACACTCAGACACTCACACTCACACACACACACTCACACTCTCT